GTATCCTGTTTCACGCCTACTCAGATAATTTTATTTTTTAACTGACTTTTTTCTTTTTTAGGGTAATCAGTTTTAGGTTCATAGCAAAATGGAAAGGAAAGTACAGAAATTTCCTGTGTACCGCCTGGCCCACACATGCATAGCCTCCCCCACCTTCAATGAATAATCTTTTATGTTCACTATATAGAAGTGAAACCTAACCTTTCACTTCTTAAATTCTTTTATTGTCATCACCAGCACAAAAACTCAGGTGATATTCTGAGTATGAAGTTACTTCACTTCAACTTCAAGAAATCATACAGTACAAACTTTATACATAAGAAAACTAAAGTAGAATTTTAAAGAATAAAATCAGTGTTCTTCTACACTTTAAGTATTTTATTAGCATATTTTATGAATGTTAAAGAATGAAAACAAAGAACAAAACAATAGTATATTTATTGTACCTCTCAAGATAGGTACAGGGAATAACCATATTGTGTATTATAATTTTCTATCTGGAGAGAAAATAAAAATTCATATAGCTTTAATAACACAAAAATACAGCACCTTAAGGGTAAAACAGAATACTTAGTGATTCTCCACTGGGTATAATCACAGGGTCACAAGGACTATTTCAGGAACCACGGAAAAATCATCCTACTCACTACTCTTCTCTCTGTTCCTTGACATCTGAAATTCCTCTAAACAAAGATAGCCTTTTATTTTACAAAGGTTTTAAAGAAAAAACAAATATTATTAGCACCAAAGATTGCAAAACTATTGGAAAGTGTGACTGCAAAGCAGCAAACCTATTTGGTCACTGTAAACATTTGGGTCTTGGAAACTAGATTTGGAGTGAAAAAATGACATAGTCCTTGAATCCAAAATATCATAAACTATCTGCCCATGTTAGGAAATTCTCTGAGTGTTATGACTGGCTACCAACTACAGGGATTGCCAGTTGTGTGAGCAATCAGCAGGTTAGAATCATTCTATTGTGTTCCTGGTGTCCCCCTCCAGATTATGGTGTCCAGACTGCTCTGCCTTTGGGATTATTTAGCTTTTATTTGACATGAATCAAGATTATTTTACTCAAATAAGTTTGCAGCAGGGTCACAGGTAAGGTGTCCAGGTCTGTTAGGTGAAGATTTATCTAAATTAAAAGACAGATGCAATTAAATATGGGAATAGCAGGATAATGTAAATAAGACTTAAGCCAACAACTGATAACAGATTCTGTAAAATTTTATTTGGAAAGAAGGAAAATAAGAATTCAATAAAATTTCAATACTTTAACTAGTAAGACAACCAATAACAATTGTTGCTGTGTAGAAGTAAGCAAGCATACCTAAGTAGAAACAAGAAGCAGAAAGGAGTCACTCACATGTTAAGAGATGAGGCATTTAGAGGTCTCTCCTATAAGTAGCTGCGGTGCCTCCATTCTACCACTAGTCTTTCCTCTACCTCTTAAGTGTTTAAGAATCCACCTTTAAATTACGAATAACTTAGAAAGGGAATACGACTACTAGAAATGAGGCAATTGAGAAGCACTTGAAAAATGAAAAGATGTTGGAGAGCAAGGAAACTTGAAAGGGATGAAAGCGTTAGAAAAAGAAAGATGCCAAACATGAGTTCTGAGGATTTCATGATCCAATCCACAGCTTTTCTGGTAGTGAAGTTGCGGTCTTGAATTATTAAATTTCCTTTGTTGCAAAATAATACAAAACATTGTTTTTATGTTGTTTTAGGAATCAGGAAGTAACCCTCATGTTATACTATGATAATTGCTTTAATCACAGAAGAGCAAGGTCTTTTCTGACTCCAATCCAAGATGACTCCTGTGTCCCAAGAGAATACTGCTCTTTTGACTAGGAGTATAGAACCCAAATTCACCTCAATTTGTAAAGACTTTCTTAAACAAAATCATCATAGTATTGAGCAAAATTTTCTAAACTCAACATTCTTTAATTCCATTTACTTTTAAAGATTTTCAAAAATTCTTTCAAGGTTTGCACTCCAAAATTCATCTGCAAATGAGGCTTTTTTCTTTTACTCTTGCCAAACAGGGGTCACTAATTCAGTTGAGATCAACTGATCTCCTTTTGCAAAAGGATTCTGCCACTACCCTCTCCCCAACAAAAAAAGTTCTAGGGATTCTAAAAGATATAAATTGCCACTGGTGTCAATAATATAGGTACTTTAGCACTAGGTTTTTAACTTCAGGTTTCATTTACATGTGACTAAAACTTACATGTAAGTTTAAGGGCAAGGCAAAAGTAAACCTCCACCTTACCCCGTGATTGGAGAAATAAATGTGGGAAAAATCCTAAAATTGGTTTCCACTTGTATTCATTAAGTCAGAACCTTATCTACTGCAAGAACATTGTAGCTTCCCTTTTTCCTGTCATAGCTTTTCATGCTCATCTAGTTTCTTGTAGTGATAAACAATAAAATTTCTGAAGAGGAAAATCCCTTGTCATAGGGCTGTCTTGAAAGTCACTTTTGACAGAAAAGTGAGAGATGCCAGCACCTGAAGGCAACAGAAGGGTACGATCAACATAAGAAGGAAAAAAGGAGAACATGGGCTGGCACTGAGCAGGGTCTCCTGGCTGAGCTGTCTAGGCCATATGGGCTCTCAATTAGTTGCCATACCATTCTGAATTTATTGTCTATGATCATTGATCTTGCATTTATCTCCTAGTGCATGCCTGAGCTTCATGCAACTGTTAGAGATGGGAGATTCATTGTCAGTGAATGGCCTCCTCACTCATAATGGACCAACCAATCTCTGTAGAATACATGTTTTCCCCATCCCAACAGTCAGCTCTCAGGAATAATTCCTTTTTTCAAGAGCTCATCATTAGCAGTATTTAGGTGGGTGCTTAGCAACCTCTACTATCTCTTATTCTTTATCCTTCCATGTTAATAGTTGCTTCCTCAGGGGGTGAGGGGAGGGAAAGAAAAAAATTCTAGAATCAGACCATTTTCTCCACTATTCTGTATATGCAAATTCCCATTTTTGTAGATATCTTTCATATATATGTGAAATATATATATATATAGTACAAAATAAGTGATATCTACTATATAGTTGTTTGTTTTATGGAGATTTTTTTAATGTTCCTAAAATATGATGATAGCAAAACCTCTAAGGTTTGATAATGAACTCATTCAGTGGCACCCCTTTATAACCTCACAGGAATCTTCAGTTTCAGACTATTCCTGACCATAGGCTAGGAACAGTTCATTTTAAATTTATGTTGTTTTGTCGTAATTGTCTTAAAACTTTACATGGAGTCACAGACGTGTTATTTTAATTTGCCAACTTCAAGTAATCAATTAGCAAATAATTCTATAACCTACTTCTTATGACACTTTGTGAGGGTGAACAGGCATAAAGCAACTTTCTTGTACTTCAATGGCTGAAAATCTGGGGGTGACTGGATACAAGTTTATTATCCTTTGGTACTTACGGCTGATTTAGCCTTTGTAGCAGTTGAGTTTCTCTTTTTGTTTCTTGCATAGGTACTGATTACACAAAAAGGATAACTTTCTCATACTGAGATATGAGAAATACTTCTTTCAGTGTCCAAAGGGAGAGGAAATTTCCCACTACCTCTTCGGGTTCTTCTTAGTTAAATAGTCAAATTAACATAAGATAGATTAGAAGAACAAAATTAATTACATACTTATAGAGAATTTACATAGATGTGGATTCCCAAGTCAACAGGGCAAAATGACAGTGTAAATCCTGATCTAAGGAATAGGATAGGAGCCTGGGGATTCAAGAAGAAAGACTGACTCACATAAATCTTGATATAAATTAAGACTAGATATTCTGCAATTAAATGTTTGCCCTGCCATATAGATAAGTTTCTCCAAAAGAATGGATATTATTCGGTAAAAGCCCTAATTCTGGGTAACACCCCCAATTTTCATTCTTCTAGGTAATTAAGGGAGAGGCAAAATTTTCTCACAAAGCTGCAATGCATCCAGTGATCTCAGCTTGAAATTATCCGCAAGGGAAAGTGACTTGTTTTGGGAAAACATATTCTGAATATGTTGGAGAAGCCAATTCTGAATAGTTTGGGGAGGCCTATCCTTGGGAGTTTCACATTTCAGAAGTTGAGTTGCTCCATTTCTTTGTACCAGTCTCCTAATCTTCATCAGTCCCTCATTAAATAGTTGTGCCTCATTTTTTGAGGCAATGATGCAGGTAATTTAGATCTTTGGTGTATATAATTAGGTAGTTAATAAGGGGCCTTCCTGTGAAAACAGGTAAAAAACAATGGTGAGTAATTGGAGTAGACTTTTATCCCAATTTTTGAGTTCTGACTATAGTCGGTGGAGATTTCTAGTATCAGGCCCAAAGCATTTTTAGATGAAATGAAGCTAGGCTGTGGCTGTTTGACATGGTTTTTCCTGGGTTGAAGTTTGGATGTCTCTGATGATCCTTCTGAGGGTCCACAAAGCAACAGGTATGAAGATTGTTCATATGTAAGTCATTGTAATAACTTCTTTTAAATTTATATTAAGTTCTCCAAGTTTAGCTCTTGTGCCTTTAGAAAAAGGGCAGTTTTAGTTCTTAGTAATTGCAAATCAGTAGAATGGAAGAAAATTTGGAAATGTTAGTTTGGAGAGTCACAGCCAGATATGGAGGAAACTAGACGAATGGAGGTCCCAGTCAAGTCTATAGATAGAAACCAAAAACCTCAAAGATGATTAAAAAGGTCCAAGAATCTTATATCTGAAAAGGTGTTTTATTGAAATATAATTTTTTCCTCAACCATCTCTGCCATTTTTACCTAAGACAATTATAGTAAACTTAATTTGCTTGTAAATTAAATCTATTGGCATGTTATTTGCATAAGTAGGGCAATAACAGCTATTAGCCCTTTAAGCTCTCTTAAACTTACTTTGCTGGAACTTTTAATAAGGCATCTCAGACTGAGTTCTTAACAGCCTCTTGAGGCTCAGAAGATATGTCTAGAGTCACCAGAAAACACTGCCTGCAATACCTGTAAATTTGGGTTAGATCTTCTCTTCTCAAGGCCACAAAAATGTCCTGAGGTTTGTGGGATTGCCAAGGGGTAATCTTCATGAACCTCTTTCTTAGGCTTTCTGGAAACCTGTAAACAAGATATCAGGTTGATTTTTTTTTTTTTTTTTGTAATTGGGAGAGATTTATTTCTTGATGTTGTCATGTATGCTATTTAATTCAAGGAAACACTTCTAAGCATAGTTCACTATATGACATAGTGGCAGTAGGTAAATAAAATACAATTTACACAAATTATTTACTTGATTGAAGGCTTTATGGTACATAATAGATAGGTTTTTTTATAGTTGCTCTCAGCTTTTTTCACACTGACTTCCGTTGTATTTGGGTGTTCTATGCCCGAGATTGCTCAGCTGCTGCTGTTGCCATTGGTTTGTTTTCTTTCAGGATCAAGGTGGGTACTTTCATATAAAATCTTATTTTTAATTCCTTCTCTGGCAATTCTTTCCTGGATTCTTTGTTTTGCATAGTTATACCTACAATGGAACCAGCATCCTAAAGTCACTAAGAAAAATCCTCCTACTCCAACATCACATGATCTTCTAATTTTACCTTTCCCTTCCCGGGCTCGCCCGGCTCCTGCTCGGTGGCCATGGGGCACGAGTCGATTTTTTTTTTTTTTTATTGGTTTCATAGCTTACCATAGTTCCTTAAAGGTGTCTCATAAAATCTGAGACTATAAACATGATTCTCAAATATGTATTCCAATAAAAATTACAGTAATATAACCATGATTCCAATGGTTACAAGTTACAGGGCGGTAAAGAGTCCTACTAAATTTATGCAAATAAATATTCTGCCATGAAAAATAAGAATCGTTACTTAGAGTTTCCCAATTCTGAAAGTATCAAGTGAGGAGAAGAGTAAATGTTCCAATTCTGCCCATAAAAGTGTAATTTACCAAAGTCATAATTAGCTTTAAAAAATAAAAAGGTTTTCCTAACTCTGGAAAAAGTAAAACAAAAAGAATCAACAATGTTACAAACAAAAAGTCATCATAATTACAGTCATCCTTATTATAATGTTAAGTATTAAGTCCATTCACTCTCTTTTAGTTAATTCTTTTTTAAAAAAGATTTATTTATTTATACATACAAGACCTGGGGTAGAGGCCAGAGGTGTTGGGGGTGAGAGGATTCACCAGAGACAGAGTGGGGAACAGAACAGGCAGACTGACTGAAATACACTGCTGAGGGGAGCAGCAGGCGAGACAGGAGAGGTCTGCTCTGCCATGTGGGTTGCTCCCTGGCCGGCCGGGGATTGAACTCATGCTGCAGAGGCTGCTGATTGCTTCATAGTGTGGTGCTTAACCCCTTGTGCCACCAGAGAGAGGCCTCTAGTTAATTCTTTTTTTTTTTTTTTTAATTTTTTTTTTTTCTATAGAGGCATGTTTTATTTATTTATTTATTTGCTTGTTTGTTTGTTTTGTTTATACATGCACTGGGTACAGTCAGAAGCGCAGGAGGGTGAGAGAATTCACCAGAGCCAGAGCGGGGAGCAGAGCAGGCAGAAGGACCGAAGCACACTGCTGAGGGGAGCAGCGGGCAGCAGGAGAGGTCTGCACGCCTTGTGGGACCCTCCTCCGGTGGCCCGGGAGCAGCCGGGGATCGAACCGGCGCCGCAGAGGCCTCGGGCAGCCTCGCAACCCAGCACTCAACTGCTGCGCCACCGGGTAGGCCCTCTAGTTAATTCTTGATCTTAATCTTTGTTAGCAATTTTATAAACCAAATTTTCCACAAGTTCTAGAATTTCTTATAGAATTCAGTTTAAGTAAATCTGTATTCTAGAGTCAAAATCTTTTCCATGAATCTCTCTGTACATGAAATACATTGGTAAAAGCATCAGAGAAAATATTAACTTCTGTGACAAAAGACTTTAAAAATGAGCATGGTTAAAGATTTTATTATAGCACAGTTGACAAGGAAATTTGCTTACCTTTGTGACAAATTTTAAAATAATAACCAAATGACATGTAATATTATTATTCTATGACATTTTAGATTTCTAGGCATTTCATATAATTTTAGAACACATTAATATCACACATCCACATACATATATATTAAGAAGGTTTAGTTTCATTTCTTATTTGACAATATTTCCCATGCAATTCAACATACCAAATAAGTCTAAATAGTTTAACACTTCTCTTAGTGTAAAGAGAAAGAACAAATCTTATTAGATGTTGGCCAAAGGATCCTCTGGAAAAATTTCTCATGGTAACTGAATCAAAAGACTTAATTTAAAATATACTTTGGGAGGGCCTTCCCGGTGGCGCAGTTGGGTTGATCGCAATGCTGTGAAGCTGTCCGCAGTCTCTGCCAGGCAGGTTCGATTCCTGGCCAGCCAGGGAGATACCCACATGGCATGGCAGACTGCTCCTGCCTCGCCTGCTGCTTCCCTCAGCAGTGTCTTCAGTCCATCTGCCTGTTCTGTTCCTGCTCTGTCTCTGGTGAATCCTCTCAATCTCCTGAGATTCTGTATCCCAGTTCTTGTACAAAATAAATAAATCTTTAAAATATATATATATGTGTGTGTACTTTTGGAAAGTTTGTCAAAAGTGTCAAAGGTTTTTATAACATTAAATAGGATTAGATGATATTATGAAACAATACTTATTTATCCATTCAACAAAAGTGAAAAAGATTTCAAAGGCATATTATATATAGAAACTTTACATAGTTCTGAACAAAACTTAGCTCTTAATATTGAGAAGACTAGATTTACTTAGTCAAAGATCTGATGATAAAGATAATATGAAACACAAGATCTTTGTTTTCTAGATAGATTATTTTAAAAACAAAGTAAAATCTTTCACAAACCCCTTATCAGAAGCAGATCAATAGTCTAAGGAAACCTTGCCCTCCTAGGTTTGTGGGAAAAAAATTAAATTTTAGGTTTACATAAGTATGTTATGACATTGAAGTTTCAGTTTTACACTTGCAAAACAGTAAAGTTTATTTTAAAATCCTTAAAATAAATTCATTCAAAGATTCAGTTTGGTCACACAAAATTTTCCCCAGTATTACTTTCTCAAATATCTTTCTATAATTTTCCCTTTTCACTCTGATTTTGTCTATTTCTCTTTCATTCCAGTCCAAAATAATCAGTTTTTTTCTTAGAGTAAAATTTACTGTGTTTTCTCTTTACAAAAACATATCTATTCCTTATGCCTTCTCTTACTGAAAATAACATCTTTCTTTCCAAAGAGTGATTATTTCCCTTACTATTTAATTGTATACATTAACTAGAATTCTTAATTAAAACCTTAAGTTCTAGTGAAAATAAATAATTGTGGATTGTCTTTTATACTCACATTCTACGGACTAGAGACTTATAAAGAAATTTCATAATTTCTGGAATATGCTTGTCATAGTACAATTTTTTAAGGTAGTAGAATGCATGTTTACTAATAGGCCCAAATTTCTTTAGTTCCTTTGCAATAAGAAAGCCAAAAGTAAACCTTATTTCAGTAATTATATTTCAGAAGTTTACCTTACTTACGCTGGGAATGACATAGACATAAAGTGAATCTCCATTATTTAATTTAACTTAGCAAAACTCTAGTTTCAAGTTAGCAAAAGTATTTGAGAGACTAACCTATTGCTGAAATGTTCATCCAGAAATTCTTATCATATCCATGGGTAGTAATGTCATATATATAAGATACATGGGAGATACATACAACATATAAACATACAAACAGATACAGAGGTTTTATGGCTTTCATTTAAAATACTTCTCTGTCAGGTACAATGCAAAAACTCATTTGTTTATAGAAAAACAACTGGATCCTTCAATAGCAACCCTATGGAGATCATGGACCAGAGTCTGGGCACTGGAGAAACCTGCCAACATGGGTACATTCATACTAACATCAAGAAGAAGGCAGCCCAGGTCATCTTTAAGAAGTACTACATACAGTACATATACACCATGGAGTATTACTCAGCATTCAAAAAAGATAAACACATGCAATTTGCAGCAACATGGATGGCGCTGGAAGGGATCATGCTCAGCGAAATAAGCCAGAAAGAAAAAGAAAAATACTGGGTGGTCTCACTCATAGCAGGAATCTAGAAAACTTAAAATAAGGGACCAGGAAAATGAATAACTGTAAGAAAGTGAAAATCAAAATCAACAAAAAAATATGAACCAGAGACACTCTATGGGGGGTTGGGGGCGGGAGGCGAGGGATAGGGGTCAAAATAAGGGGATTGCAATTGTATGGGGAATATAAAAATAAAATTTATTTTTAAAAAAAAGTACTACATACATGCAATAATTTCCACAGAAGGAAATTATTGTTAAAAAGATTTTTGGAGTTAACCACCCCCATCCCCTTAAGTTACTTAAGTCCCCCAAAGGTTTACATTTAGAGATGAAGAGATGTGCCAGATAAAATATTACTTCAGATGCAGGTTTTAGATGGGACTTCCTCTAAACTTGGTTTCTGATTTTACAAAGTGGAAATTTTTTCCTTTCTTGCTGGATACATTCAGCTTAGGGGAAAAAGCCAGAAAAAAAATTCCTATCAGGTTCTGAATATCAGAATAATATAGCAATACCCACTCCCCCCAACCAAACAACAACTATGAGATTTTCCTCGTCCATTAATTCAGTTCTATGTAGATTTTGTTCTACAGGAATTTAGACTAGTAATTTCCAGAAAGTCATGGTTTCTGATCCTAAAACAATCTGGATGTCACACTTAATTTCTCTGGTACAGTTTGAGAGCATGTAAAGAATGCTCTAAAAAGCCTATTACATTGCAGTGTTGATGACTCGAGTCCCTGATACAGTTCTTCATGAGGCTCTGAAGCTAATACTCCTTGGGAAGACCCAACTTGTACCTGTAGCTTATGACATAGTCCTTAGGCAAGCATGAGAGGAAAGCAGAAACCACACTGATATGATCGAATAACCTGATCAATTAATAAAATTCCTTGTTGGATAATATATATAACAATTTCATTAAATAGTGATCAATGTTTTCCTGAAGATAAGTACATATTAGGGGCAGTGAGAACATTGACAAATATTTCAGATAAAGTGTGTACAGTATCTGAAACATTTAAATTAATAATATTTTGCCTGTCAAAATCAATCAACAGAAAGGCCATTCACATCACACTCATCAGGAAAATGCAAATCAAAACCAAAATGAGTCATGACCTCACATCTGTAAAAATGACTAATATTGAAAAGATAAAAGAGGGCCTCCCTGGAGACACAGGCATTAAGGTCTCAGTGCTATCAAACTATCATCAGCCACTGAAGCATGAGTTTGATCCCTGGCCAGGGAGCTGACCCACAAGGAGCAGCAGATCTCTCCTGTCTCGCCTGTTGCTCCCCTCAGCAGTGTATTTCAGTGGATCCACCTGTTCTGCTCTCCAATCTGTCTCTGGTGAATCCTCTCACCCCCCCCCTCCACACCTCTAGCTTACACCCCAGTTCTTGTATGCATAAATAAATAAAATATATCTTTTTTTTTTAAAAAAGATAAAAAGTGTTGGCAGAGACCAACACAAATTTTCTATTATCACACAGTAGTTAAAATTATAAAATGATACACATCATAAATTTCATGCAGGTCAGAGCTCTGCAGTCATAACTACCTGTAGTCTTAATTATTCATATTACACAGGTATTTTAAACAAATTAATTGCTACTTCAAAGAACCAGGAAGTAGGATATTAAAACCTTTCAAATGTAAGCATTTTAGTATGTGATGACCCTTATAGTTACATTATGCATCATTTTAACATTTTCTTAAGGTGGCAAAAATGAAAACTTCCAGCTATTTAACATACAAACATAAGAAACAAATTATCTTTATAATACACACACAGAGACACATACCTCTATAGACCAATGCTTTAGTATTCTATCACATTTCTATTTTATCAAATTTAAAAATTATCTTGGTAATCAAAGATGAACCATTAATTAATATTAGTGTCTCACAGTAACTAAGGATCTTGGAGATTTTGTTTACAATGACATGCTACGAAACACAATTACTATTGACATGAAGGCATTTATCAGAATTATAATTCAATTTAAATACATCATTTTGTGTATTTCACAATCTTTACGCTTGTTTTATATTCTACTGATTAAAAGGACACATAATTCTTTTTAATCAAAACTATCAAGCTACTCTGTTCATGAGAATGAACTTTAAAATAGATTTTCACAGAAAATCTAATTAGGAGTTATGCTCTCACAGAACCTCAGCCAAGAACTCAATCCAGTTAAGCCTTGTGGTACCTTGAGCGGAGAACCTAGTCATACAAAGACAGACTTCTAACCTACAGAACTATGACTGGTAAATTGTTTCACTTTAACCTACCAAATTATGGTAATTTGTTACATAGAAAAAGGAAATGAATATAGCTACTAATTAGTGATACTCATCTTGGTGGTTGTAGTCTCACCCTGCACACACAGATAGCAACCACAGTTCATCTGGCAAATTAGGAGTTACACTCTCCTGCTGTTTGAGCAAATGAGTGTGTTGGTTCCAGACACCTTCTGTTTATAAAGCTCCCTTGTTCAAATCCCTTGTTCCAATTTGATCCTCATAATCACACTTTCACAAAGTAAGATTGATGTGGTACAGGAAAACAGGATATATGACCATTGTGAAAGCCGGAATTCAGGTAGTGTTGTCTTTACATTCTCTTACACCCTATCCTAAGTCTCTTTTGTTCCTTGTTTCTCACTCTGTAATTTAAATTGATTTAATAAACCACATAATTTAATCATCTTTATTTGGCCCTCAGGGATATTTTTCCATGATCTCTGATAGCTTACATGGTTGTGGCCACTGTTGCATCAAGGTAATTTGCCATATGACAAATGTGGACATAATGGCTTACACTAAAGCAGCCATTTTGGGCCCACTAGGTGGAAGTGCCATACTGAGGATGAAGTAGCAGTAATTCTATAAAAGGAGAAACGATTTTGAAGGAGGTGGGTCCCTTACATAATGGAGGGCTGTTCTATCCCTGGATTGTCTACCTCTATTTTATATGTGAGAAAAATAAACTTCTGTTCTTAAAAAGTAAGTATTATTAGTTTTCTGTCATGCACAACTGAAGCTAACTCTGCTTGATGCACTAATGTTTCCTGTTTCCTCCACTATTTTCTAGTAATTTGTTTTCAAAATGTTGTCCCAGATCCAACAAAACGATCTGAACTATTTTCCAAAACTTTATTTCTTAGATACTACCCTAAGGTCTATGATGGGGCCCAGGAATCTGCACTAGTGATGAGTTTCCTTGGATATTCTTATGCTACTAATATTTGTAAACCACTGATCAATTGGGGATGTTTAGGGTGGTCACATTTGGAATCTAACCCAAAGACTAATGGCAATGACTAAAACCTGGATAGGTGCCAAAGGATTTAAAGAACTTATATAAGATACCTGGAGATTTTGAACTGAAGGGAAAAAAATAAATTTGATAAATACCTCACATGTTCATTTAGTCTGATGGCTCTAACACATTTCCACCACTCTGGGAGCTCAACATGTGATCTCTGACAATTCTAGAGAACAGAAGTGTAAATTAGAGTTAGCAGGGTCATATTACCTCAAAATGTTCTGAGGGAGAATTGATTCCTTGCCTCTTTCAGCTTCTCATGGCTACCTGCCATTCCTTGGCTGGTGGCCACACCACCTCTGACTTTACATTGCCTTCTCCTCTGTCTTTCTAGTCTAACCCTCTCTTAAAAGGATTACACTATTTAGGACCTACCCAGATAACCCACGATAAAACTGTCATCTGGAAATCCTTAGTTTAATTATATGTTTCACCACTTAAGGTAGTAGCCACAGATTCTGGAGGTTAGTAAGCAAATATATCTTGGAGGGGGGTGTGCATTTATTCTCCTACATACACTTTAGTATCACTTTAGATAGAATAGCTATTCTTGTCTATAAGGACAGTTTGAATGGACTTACAATTTTACATATGATACATCATCTTTGGAAGTATAAGGAGATACTTGATGCACTACACACAAGAAGTGGAAAATAATGAATACAGAGTCACACTAGCTATCCTGCCCACTGTCCTCTTTGAACTCAATCCTGCTCAGACAAGTTGCTCTGAATTACATCTGAGTACTGGCTGACTACATCAGGGTAGGTACATGATCAGGGGAAGCTATCTTATAACCAATGAGATTATCTATGAAAGTGAATATAAATATCCAAGATAAATGCTACAGTTTCCTCTGTAATTTGGACTATGTAGTTTGAAATTCAGGATTACCATTCAGTAAAGATATTTCCATTTAGGAGGTCTAGGGTAAAACTTCAGGGTTTTTTCTTCTCTCTTTTTTCTAATCAATGTTCCACTAGCTCTCTCTATAATTGAAGGTCTTTGTAGCATTGAAAGGATCATGGCATGTTTAGTCAAGAACTTAACTCTTGCCCCATTTATCAAATCAATAAGTGCTGGTGTTAGCATAGGCTCTAAAAAAATTAGGCTGTAAGTGCTGTCTAAATTATTTTTGGATTTTTTTCTCCATTATTGGAATATTTGGAGAAAATGTTGGAAACAATAACATTTCTTTATTTTTATCTGTTAAGCCTTCCTTTGATATTAATTGAAATTTTCCAGTTTTTACATTACTTACCATATATACACACACACAGAATATACCAGACACATACGAGTTCTGGAAAGCAAATTCAGACATCGAACAACTAGGAAGACGAATGCTTCTATCACGCTCCTTTTTTTTGAGTAGGAGACCAGAAAATTTCAACCCTTTCTCAAAATCAATACTTTCTATACACTTGTGTTATTTCACTCACCATTTTATTTATTTGTTTACTTGTGGTAGAAATAAACACATAATATAAAATCGACCATCTTTAGCTGCACAGCTCAGAAGCTTCAAGTACATTCACATCATTGTGCAATAACTTTTCATTCTGTAAAACTGAAACTATCAACAAATACCCATCCAACAACTCTCCATTTCCCCTCTTCCTGCCTGGCAGCTACCATTCTGTTTCCATGAGTTTGACTACTTCAGATACCTCATATAAGTGAGATCATGTAAGATTTGTCTTTCTGTAAAATGTTTATTTCACTTATGGTGAAATGTAGTATATTACAGTATAATGCTTATATACATTTTATGTATGTTTATAACAATATAGTATAATGTACTTAAGGTTTATCTCTGTAGTAGCATGTGATGACATTTCCTTCTTTTTTAAGGCTGAATAACATTCCACTGTGTATAGTATTACATTTTCTTTATCTATTCATCTGTCAATGGACATCTGGGTTGTTTACCCTTCTTGGCTAAATTGTGAGTAATTCTGCAATGAACACGATGTGCAAATATCTCTTTGATAGCCTCCTTTTAATTCTTTTGGATATATACACTGAAGTAGGATTGTTGAATCATATGGTAATTCTGTTTTTAATTTTTTTTTAAGATTTATTTATTTATACAAGCACTGGGGTACAAACCAGAGGCGTGGGAGGGTGAGAGAATTCACCAGAGACAGAGCAGGGAGCAGAACAGGAAGAAGGACTGAAACATACTGCCGAGGAAAGCAGCGGGCGAGACAGGAGAGGTGTGCCACACCATGTGGGAATCTCCCTGGCCTGCTGTGAATCAAACTGGTGCTGTAGAGGCTGCAGACATCTTCACAGCACTGTGCTCAACCTGCTGCACCACCCGGAAAGTCCTGTTTTTAATTTTTTGAGGGAGCTCCATACTCTTTCCATAGAAGACATACTATTTTACATTCCTACCAATATTATCCAAATATTCTAATTTCTCCAAATCCTTTCCAACATTTATTATTTTCCTTTTTTTTTTTTTGATAACGGACATGCTAATGTGTATGAGGCGAGATCTCACTGTGGTTTTTATGCATTTCTCTAATGATTAGTGATGTTGCATGTCTTTTCATAAGCTTCATTATGTTATTTTAAAAATCAATAAAATATGTGTAAGTCAAAAAAATGAGTGTACTCTGTTTTCTTGTTAACTGGGCAAAAAAAGCCCTTTGGGCAGCTGATTGCTAGAGATAAATCATGTAGTTAAGCAGCTTGTATTGCTCCAAAATAATGGTTTCTTCTCTCAGGTATGCCTTCAACATATAGCTCAACAAGTCCATTATAGTTTTCCAATTAGCTTTCTCACCCTGAATTGTTACCATACTTCCATAATCCTAGGACATTATCTTTGATGTCTTTTCCAATAATAAAATATTTGGAAGGAGGAGAGAGCACAATCAAACTAAACACACAGTTACAGGAAACATCCCGATTTCAGTAAAAAAATTTAAAAGTATCTCAGAATCAAAGACATATTCCAAACCTTCACCTATATCCTAAAGTCTCACACTTCATTAACTCTTTCTCACATCAAATTTAGTGTGTATTTGACAGACAATCAGAAAACAAGGTATAGGACCACCCTACCACCACTTCTATTAGTCAACTAAAATGTCCTTACGAAGAGGAGGCAAGGTTTTTTTTCTCAGTGCTGAGCCTGAACTTGCATGACCTCAGGGTCATGCAATTAAATTTTGCATCCTAGGCTTCTTCTCATCCCACCCTCACTCTTGCCCTGGAAGGACATTCTCTTAGCAAAAGTCAGTTCTTGTTCTGACTTTCAATTCTTCCCACCATCTACCTTCTCTCCTGAGTTTTAGCTTCATGTTCTATAGTGGATCCTTCTCTACAGCATCCTCTCATCTTTAAAAAGACAAGTGAAACACCCTCCTCTGAGCACACCTGCATTTAGCAACCACTCACCATTTTTCCTTTCTCTTTTTGTCAACTGTTTTCAAGCATTGGTACAAAAAAAAACCTCAAAGTTTTATTGTTACACATTTCTTCAGCATTTTAATGGTGGGGTTGAGTCTCTCCACTGAAAGGGCAATTGCTTAGATCAGTGTGGTCTGAGACAAGAGGAGTTTCCTGAGACTCTTTCAAGGGTTGCATGAGGTCAAACTATTTTCCTAACAAAATTAAGATTCTATTTGCCCTTTAACTCTCATTCTCTCATAAATGAATAGAAAAGTTCTCCAGCACAACAGATTGAACGTAGAAGCAGCTATGAGAATCCAGCTGTCGTTCATTAAGCTAGTCAAGAAATTTACAAAAATGTAAACCAGTGCCATTTCTCTCATTCCTTTTTTTTTCTGAAAAATATCCATATTTATCCTACTTGCTCATAACATATCCATTTTAGAGATTGCTAGATATGATTATTTTGTTAAAGAATTTTTCATCTATATTCTTTAATTTATCTGTGATATTTTTGCAATGTCTTTAGAAAGCTTTAGTATTATGGTTATTCTGTCCTCATTAATGGAACTGAAAACTGCTATTCCTTTGTTTTCTGAAAGAATTCGTGTAATACTAGTTCTATTTCCTCCTCAAGTGTGTAATAGGATTCATCAGCAATACCATCTGTGTTTGGAATTTTCATTGTGGCCTATTCAGATAGTCCATCTTTAAATTTTTTTATTTTTCTAATTAGTGTTGATGTTGAGCATTTCTCCTTTTATGTTCATATTCTTTACTCGATTTGCCACTGTAGTTGAAGTTTCTTGTACATTCTAAATACTAATCCTTGTTAGTTTTGATCATTGATAAACACCTTATCTATCTGCCCAGGATCTTTTCCTCTAGGATTCTTCGATTAATTTGACATAAAAAATAACAACATTTTCTCCCTTTAAAATGTATGTTTGGAAGGATCATAAGAATCCTCTCCTTTCTGTCAAGTCTCCCCAGTGTCATACAGTCTTTCTCCAATATTTTAATTATTCTGAAAGTTTTGCTTTATGTATTTAGGTATCTTAACTATGATGATTCAATTTTAATGATGCAAGTTTTTTTAGCTTTATTGAGATTAAAATTGAAATACAATGTTGTACACTGTACAACACGTTTATCTGACATACATATTTCAAAATTATTACCATCATAGCTTTAGCTGATACCTCCATGATGTCACATATTTGCCATTTTTTTTGTGAGAACAATTAAGATCTGTGCTCTTAGCAACTATCAAATGTATAATACAGCATTGTTAACTACTGATGCACAACTATGTTGTGCATCAGATCCTCAAAACTTTTCATTTTCTAGCTGGAAGTTTATAGCCATCAAAAACATCTTCCCATCCCTAGCCTCTGGTAACTACACCTTTCTTTTTTTTTATATTCCCCATACAATTGCAACCCCCTGATTTTGACCCCAATCCCTCCTTTTCCTGCCCCCCTCCCCAAAGTGCGTCTCTGGTTCATAGTTGTTTGTTGATTTTGGTTTTTTTCTTTCTTATAGTTATTATGGTAACTACACCTTTCTACTCTCTATTTTATGAGCTTGGCTTTTACAGATTACACATGTAAGTGATACCATATAGTATTTGTAACGACACAGCAATTGATTCAACTCTATGAATTATTTCCATAAAAATATACAGTGTTTAAAATGACTCCTCTAAATTGAATCATATGCAATCTTATATATACCAAGTTATCATTTATGCAAGGATAT